TACACCTTGCATAGAGATGGTTAAAGGTCACAGTGGGGGTGTTTGGAAGCGATCTAATGAGTGTGATCAAAGTCTTTCAATAGACTCCTACCTGAAGAGCTTATATTCATCCAAGCTTCCCTTAGAGAGCTATATACCCTGTTTGTGGAATATTGATCCAGAGATTTTTCAATGAACACATCCTACACTTATTACATCAGAGGCTTAGGTAAATTGGTGATTGACATTTAAAGAGGAAAGACTGAAGTGACTAAAAATGGTTTTTAATGTCTTTTGGACCTTTTTAAATTAACCTTTGATGCATTTATGCATATAAATGACACCAGCATGGATACTAGACAAAATATTTTTTACCTTATGTGCTTGTGCAACACAGTCTTCCCAAATATGACTTCCTGCACATATGCTCTCTGCATTCTGCGTCCACAGCCTGCCTGCCAGTTGGACGAGGGAATTGGGCATGGATTTAGGAAGCAGTTTTCTGACATTTTAGGAAAAAGAGCAAGTTTTCACTAGTTATCTCGAAAAACATATTTAGTATAAAGATTTAGCATTGATTTAGATAAATTTACTTCGTAGCAAAAATTGTGAGTCTGCCTAGGTTTTAGCAGCTGTATCAACATATAATTCTTTAGTATTTAGAGAATTTCAAATGTTGTTTGGAAAATTGCGAAAGAATTGTAATTTAATTTAATAATCACACCAAATAAATATAATAATATTCCATGTTATATCAGTTTAGGAGGAGGATTTATCAGTGGTGGTCCTACAAATACTGATATCTAAATGGTGACATATTTTTATTTTACGAGTTGAAGGCTCTACAGCGGGATCTTTTCATGCCCAGCCACTCACCCTCAGCTCAAATGCATCGGTGGACATTCCATAGTAGTTACTTTAGTCAACAGATGGAGTTTAGATGGAGATTAGATGAAGTATTGAGACTATAAAATATGCCTTTATCTGACAGAACAACCCAATGAGAGCAATAATTATATAAAATTTTTTAAAATATATAAACATTTTGTTTTTAAGATGGAACAAAAACTCTATCCTGAACTCCTCAAGTGGAAAAGTTTTAGTTTCACCTGGTTTAATTTAGTAAAACATCTTCTTTAAGGAACCTTTAGCTATCCGATTATTAGTCGTAAAACTTATCAACAGATTAATCGATATCCACAACTATCTTTAGTTGCAGCCATATACTCTCAACAGTACCTTACATAATCTAATTTAACTGCTGATTTTGTTAGCGTGCTCAGAAAAAACCTTAAAAAAGCCTAAAAATTTTCACCCAACGGAACATCAGGCCGGAACATATGGAGTGGCATTTACCGGACCTGTTCATCTTCCATTTAAATATGTTCAATTTGCAAAGATTACTAAGTATTTTCTTTGCTATTGGTTTGCATATCCGCTATATTAGGTAGCTAATCTCACGGAGTGATGACACAATACCGGCTTTGGTATAGTAAAAAAAACAGACCCGGATGTAATAAAAAAAAGTTTTATTTTTAAAACTGTATCTGAATATCTCAATGCTCTGGCATAGATGATAATTAATGACAAGAAAGCAATTTGAATTAATGTTTCATCCCATCTTCAAGCTATACTTGTGGCTCAAATCGCGTTTCTCAGGTTAAAGTCGGGGTTTTATTTCCATATACAATGATGGAGTCAATGCCCGACCCAGGGTTGAGAGAAAAATTCTTGCTCCATATTTTTCCTTCTATACCGATAACACAACAAGCCTTTAGAGAAAAGAAAAAAAAATGTTCTTGGCCATATAGAAATAAACCTAATTTGATTTGGCCTTTAGTGTGAAGTAAAGACACTAATTAAGCTTTATATTTAATTTTGTAAGACAAGCATTAAAAAATATTGTCTGAGATATATAATCCCCTCTTTGAACACTGTTTGTCCTTATTATGAAAGCTCACTGTCCTTTGGCTGTAGCATGTTAAACTCTAACTGAAAATCGCTGTTTAGTGGTATTTATTTAGCGTTAGTCTTTGTTTTTTTTACACAATATTTAAAAAATGTTTCTGTCAAAAATTTCTGATTTGCTGAGTCAGGATTGTAATATATTGATATCTAAGGTGTGTGCGTTCTTGCCTCCTGTACCTACTGAAACCCCACTGATCTGCTTGATGTACTTGCTCAATTGCTTAAAATCAGCTTCTTGCTGTGTACCTTGAAAAGCTTGATGTGATTGCCTAATTTCATGCCCTTCCTGCACTTGTGGGCATGTTGACTCCATCAGATTGTGGTGCATAACACCACTGGTCACTAAATATAATGGGGTACCCTCCACCATGTAGCTCTGTGACCAGGTTACTGCACTGACACAGGTGGTGGTATTCCATCAAATGATGCTGCTGCTTCCTATGTGGGTAAAACAGAAACTTTTATCACTGTAAAAATATAGGGATGGCAAAGCAAAAGTTATAAAAATAATCTGCTGGAGAAATGTGTGAATTGTTTTTTTTTTCTCCGTTAGGTAAGATGTTTGTCAAAAATAACAAGGCTCTGTCAGAAGCTCTTTATTCGTCGCCTTGGATGCTGTCTTGTGGCTCTAATGAGATGGTACAGAAAGAAAATATCGGAGTACTGTATGTGACAAGGGAGGATTACAAAAAATGAAAAATCAATGGACTGAAATATAAAGCAGCACTTTGAGAAATAAAAAGGTGAATGGAAGGGGAATAAAACAGAAGACGGAGTACCTTCTGACAACGGCATAGAGAATTTGGTTTATACCACATATAGTACCAACAGGTCTTTCAGAAATCATTTAAAAAAATGTCAGAAGAGATTTAGAAAGAATTTAGATATGAATATGTGTGCACACTAAAGAGATTAATAGAAAAAAATGTGTATTTAAGATAGAAAAAGGGAAGACATCTTGGGGATATAACAAAATAAAGAAAGGTAGCTCTCATAGCGAAACATTGAAAAGTCAGTGATGGCGACAGAGCTGACAGCTTGCAGTCCAAAGGTCAGAAGTGTTCTGCAGATTGAATTGGCTTTAAGCCTATAGCTATTTCAGACAAACTCAAACATCTGAAGTTGGTGCAACAGGGAAAACGAGCAAGGGGACTGAAATGAATAACAAAAGTTAGGCTGTGTGCCCCCCCCACTTGGTCACACCGCTTTAAGGCAGATCAGCAGCAACAGCAATGATAGCAGGGAGACCTGTCACTCATCCTTTAGAGCCATAGGGGAGATTGAAGAAAGAAAGCAGAACGGGGGGAGGAATGAGCCAAGATGCCTCCAGACACTTGTCCCCTTTCACGATCAACACCATCATCTCTCACAATAAAATTCTTGTCCTTCTCTTCTCCTTTCCTCGATCTTTTTTCTGCTTATCTCTCAGCAGGGGATAAGATTTGATTAGTAGGTTGTCTGTAGCTGCAGGCTACCATGCAGCACACCTTTAATACCACAATGGTCAATCTCTGAGCCAGGGGTCCAATCCCGCTGTTGTTTAACATAATGTCAGATCACATGAGTCGTACCTGTAATAGATGCTTACAGAATTAGTACATTTACAGTGACTCTCAAAAGTGTAGATGCCTTATTAAATTGATGTTTGAACTGTAGCTTTAAGAAATAAGATGATGATAAAAGAGAACTTTTGTCTAACTTAAATGTCAGAATCACCCAGTCCAAAAATTGTAAGCAAATATTTAAAAGAAATTTGAAAAATTAAAAAAGATGGCCGCATAAGAGAGGACACCCTGAATTGAATGCTTAGTTAAACTAAGTTTTGATTAAATTGTTTGACATGTTTACATCATATCATGACTTTGGGATATTTCCCTATCTGACTATTAAATCTTTTTTAAAAGCTGTCAAGCTGTGAGGAGTAATTTAAGAAACCCACCTTCCACAACATCTTGTAAATCTTTTTCTGTAATTTTCTTTATTATAATGTTTAAACTCTGCTCAAATCGTGGGTAGAGACCTAACGATTTTGGATCAAAACTCACTGTCTAAAAAGAAGCAACCGGACTTGGTGGTGTAGCAGGGGTAAATATATCGAGGCCTTGATACAGGCTAGAGGTTTGAATACCATCATTTTGACATTTGCTGCAATATATATATATATGTATATATATATATATATATATGTGTGTAATATGCACACACATCAATCCATGTTCTTATGCTTATCCGGAGTTGGGTTAGCAGGGAGGCCCAAATATCCCTCTCCCCAGCCACTTGGGCCAGCTCCTCCGGGGGAATCTCAAGGTGTTCCCAGGCCAGCTGAGAAACATCTCCCCAGCGTGTCCTGGGTCTCCTCCCAGTGGAACGTGCCCGACCCACCTCAACCGGCTCCTCTCGACGTGGAGGAGCAGGGGCTCTACCCTGAGTCCTCCCTGGATGATGAGCTCCTCACCCTATCTCTAAGGGAGAGCCCAGACACACTATGGAGAAAACAAATTTTTGCCTCTTGTATCCCGGGATCTTTCGGTCATTACTTGAAGCTCATGACCATAGATGAGAGTACGAACATAGATCAACCATTAAATTGAGAGCTTTGCCTTTTGGTTCAGTGATCTCTTCACCACAATAGACGGGTACCGTGCCCACTTCACAACAGACGGGTACCGTGCCCACTTGACAACAGACGGCACATCAATCCGCCCGTCGATCTCCAGCTCCATCTACCCTCAATTGTGAACAAGACCTAAAAATACTTAAACTCCTGTAATACCCATAATACCTATGGGTATTACATGCTCTCCAACTCCAAAGGAACTCTACCCTTTTCATGCTCAAGACCAGGCATCCCCAAAGTCAGTACTCAAGGGCCGCTGTCCTGCAGGTTTTAGAGGTTTCCCTGCTTTAGCACAGCCAATTATGATGACTGAAGTTGAGCAACAGCCTGTTAATCAGCTTTCAATTAAAATCAGCTGTGTTGGAGCAGGGAAACCTCTAAAACCTGCAGGACAGCGGCCCTCGAGGACCGACTTTGGGGATGCCTGCTCAAGACCATGATCTCGGATTTGGAGGTACTGATCCTCGTCCTGGCAGCTTCACAGTCGCTGCGAACTGCTTCAGTGAGAGCTGTAGATCACGACCTGATTAAGCCAATAGACCCACGTCATTCACAAATAGCAGATATATAAACATTTGTAATGGATATGTAATTTTTTCAATGTAATAAAGTTTTTTTTTTTTTCTATCCTGCATTTTGCTTAAAAAAAAAAAAACAAGTTTCTTTAGTGAAACTCAACAGGCAGGACATTGAGGACGTAGTATTCCTACAGAGCTTAGAGGAAGTGACAGTATGAATCTCTGTGGTTCCCTGCTAACAATGACATTTTCTTGATTTGCACCAACAAAGCACCTTCCCTCATAGTGCACGCATCAGGAGAAAGACGTTAATTAAAATCCTGCTGTGTAGCAGATATGCCTAATTGCAAACATAAAACAAAGGATTGAGAATTAAGGCATAGAATGAGTTCAGTTCCACTCTGTGGGGTGTTCTATTTTATTTTTCTTTGCTCACTCACCCTCCTACAGAGAGAGATAGGCTTGGGGTTGAGTCAAAAGGGAAGGAGGAAGGAAAGAAGGGTGATCTTAAAAGTACATTTAATGAGCTGAATGAATATTTAACTCCTAAAATGGAAAGCAGTGAAGCACCGACTCAGTGTTGGGCCTTTTTGGATAGCTCCAGGATAAAGGCTACTCATTAAATGTGAAATATTATGCCGAGAGACAATGTAGGTGGAGACATAACCCTGAAATTACTCATCCATGTGTCACACTGAGTGCTTGTTTCAGAAAGTGAACAGATTTGGTGCTTTCTTCATATTTTTCTGAGAGTAAAAACTTGAGATTATCAATTATACTCTTGGCAGTGAATAGAGAATGAAATGTGATCAGTTACATGAGCAGTGTTACACTAGCGTGGCACCCAGCGTTAGTGTGCAATGTCCTCATTAATACCCATAGATTAATGTCAAACCATCTGTAAACCCCCCTTCCTCCACACACACAAATGCATGCATACACATAGTGCATCAGTACATCTTGTATGGAGACAAGGTGCTAATAAAGGAGAAGAATTTGTGCTGTCATTGATTGGCATTAGCAGATGAAGCCAGTCAGCTTTGTACACCCCTTCCCTTCACCATACCATATGTTTCAGTGAGCTGAACAGATTTGGGAAAACAGACAGGCACCATCATAATGCTGTCTCTGGAAAGACAATGTGTGAAAAGACATATTGGCAATATTTCCTGACATTTTGTTTCTTTTCTACCCTCTTTCTTACAGTAAATGTTCTTCTCCATTGTCTCTGCAAATCTGGCTGTGTCTCTCTCTAAGCTTTTAATGCATGTCTTGCCCTGCATGATTGACTCGCTGGTGTTTTGCTTTGGCTGTTGAAAGAGGATGGAAACCTGACCATGTGTGACAGGTTGGGTTACATAGTCTTTTGGCATGTGGCTACAGTGTTTGCTTACTGAAAAGTTTGATATCTTGAATGAGTTGAGACTTGTGACCTTAAAAACAAAAGCACAAGAAACGTTGATGTACAGTGTAGGTCTAATTTCTTTTTACAACCCTTGAACTTGTACATGTTTACAGCATTCACAGCATAAAATATTGTTTGATTCTGAAGTGGAAGGAAATTCTACCTTTTCTGATGGGTAAAAATCTGTGAAGAACAGCATGGATTCAACTCCAGAGTTGATAGCCCTTTATACCCTCAAACAGACTTTCTTTACCTGTCATCCACATTCTATGACCTAACCGTTCCCCAAGCCCTGCAGAAGTAAAGCGTTCCCACACCATAATACTCCCACCACCATGTTTAAAGGGGAGCAATATGTGTTTAGGGTGAGGGCTTCTGAATGCAATTCAAAAAGATTATATTAGGATAGTTGTAGAAAGATACTCTCTGTGACTCCTAAAGGTAATTGGTTGCAATTAAGGTAATAATGGTGGTTTATACCTCTTTCAAAGCTTTTGATCATACTATGTTAATGTATTCTGTAATACATTCTGTAATAGTAAATTATGATACAGATGACTACTTTTAGAAAAAAATCTTGATTCCTCTTAGCTATAGAAATGTCTTTAAACTTGAATTTTACCCATGATTTTGTTTCTGAGGATTAATGATGTTTCTCACATAAATATTGTGAAATTCCAGTTTCCCAGCATGCCCCATGACTTTGGATGACATTCTGCTCCAGCCCACTCTCCTCTCCGTGTTTGTCAAACCAGTGATACTTTAGTCAGCAGCTTATTCTGGCTTCCTTTACCCATATTTTGGTCATGGTGTGTGTTCCAGCTATGGCGTGTTAGTATGTGAGCAATGCTCGACAGACTGCAGCTCTGTGTGACTGTCTTCCTTTTACTGCTTCAAAATCCATGACATGGCAGTCAAGGGCAGAGTTCTGCACCGTCTATCACCAGCCTCAATCAGAGGCTCCAACATTTTCTCAATTACTCTGTGTTTACGACTTTGAACATTTATTCTTCTAAAGTTGTTTTGGCTGTCACAAGCTATATATCTCTCATGCTACAATGAAAGGGAGCGTTTTAGTTTTCTCTTTCGAGCGCTAGCATTACTTGATGGGTCTCTCTGACCCCCTTAGGAGTATAATTACGATTTTATTCACAGCTGTGGCCAAATGTTTTGAGACAGACAGGAATTTAGTATTTCTTTTATCATGACTTCTTGAGTCTTGTCAGATATATTTGGCATTTTTTTTAATACAGCATTCTAAGTATGAAAACAAAACTGCTTCAAGTTTATACAAATTATGTTAATACTCTGTGCTGAAAAGTTGGAAAATGGACATTTCTGCTTTTCATACCAGTAACCATCCATACCCGTAAATCTCAATGTTATTGCAGAAACATTCACACTTGTCTGCAGCTTTTGGTGAGGAATCTTCTGTAACTCAGTCTTCTAGCTGGTGATGGTTCTGGTAATTGCTAGACGTAACTATTTTTTATATTTTTTATATCTGCAGAACCTTCCTCCTTTAAGCTTGTGCTGATTTGATAAATTATTAATTTATAGCTCAGCATGTGGGCCCAACTCAATAAGTTGGAATTATTAAAAGCACAGTTTTTTATTAAACACCCATTATGATCTTTGATTTAGGTCAAATAACCATAACAGATACCCTTTCTTTAGAAAATTTAGCAGGAAATTTTCATTTAATATAATAATAATAATAATACAAGGAAACCTAAACTTGTTCCAAAATTCTTTCTGAATATTCTATAGAATATGGGAAAATAGGATTTCACTCAGTTTCAAAGTTTCAATCTCAAATGTATAATTTTTTTTCAAATATTTAACAATAGGTCATATTTTAAAGAGCAATTTTCAGGAGAAAGGGTTCCAATAGGACAGCATCTCTGTCAGCAGACTGTGTTCCTATCTACCCCTAGCATTTTGGCACATTTTTGAAACCATTCAAATGGCACAAATCTAGGCAATATGTTTTCCTCCTGCCAAATGGATTACATGCAGAGTGAAAGGAAATGCTATACACCAACAGTAGAAATTTGAATGGGGATAACCCTATGGTTTCCACACCAGAATGGATTCCCTGTTTGCATCACACCTTCTGCTAGCCATTTGTCCTATTAAGGGAAGAGTTTGACTCTTTAAAATGCTTGTATTTTTAAGAAAGCAGGATATACATTTCATTTGCATTTATTTATTTCTGTTTCACTGCTAAAAATATTAAGAATTATATATATATTTTCAAACTTGGAGTAGTATTATTGTCAAATCTATACTACATTAAAACATAAAAAAAAATGAATAAGACTATGGAATCCATGGAAAATAACAGGTTTGAAAACCTGCAATCAAAAACTTTCTTCTTTTATGGATTATTACTGCAGAGCCCACTCTTCTGTTCATTTGTTAACTTTACTTGTAGGGACTGCTCTACACCACTAGGGGATGCACTTCATGTCCAAATTAGTCCCTGTGGGAAGCATTACTTTGTGAAAGCAGTTATCTTGTATTTATTTTAGTGATTCATGTTTACAGACTTTTTTTAAATAAAAAAATGTAAATATTTTCACTGTTTTAAACTCCCTGCAAGCTCTGAGTAGTCAGTTACTTTCAGCAGACAGACAAGCTGTACAACCAATGCCTGAGTATATATATGTTGCTTACTCCACCCTGAGGCAAAAGAAAGTCTGCCTGGGAGTGATTATCTGTTAGCTTTTGTTAATGTGATAGTGCAGATTAGCATTGTAATCCATTTAGCATAGAGCAGCTAATCCACTTTATTATTGTTGAAAAGGAATCAGATAATATTGGATGGAACCACTGAGCTGCCTTAATGATTTTTGACTGATGAGAAATTAAGACGTTCTGTAATAATAATTGATGATTCCGATGATGAGCCCACGATTAAAGCATATTATTCCATGTTCACCTCACATCAGGGCAATAGTGGTATTACCTGCAATGCTTTATAAAGTATTTAAACCTTGCAAGCTTTTCAACATTTTATGACCTTATGCTGACATTTATTTATTTGTTGGACATTTATGTGATAGACATCCTTACAGACATGTTGGTGGGAAAAGTTAAAGATAAAAGCTACATGATTTTCCTCTATTTTACAGGTCAGTATCTGAAAAGTGTGGCATGCATTTTATTTTGGTCCTTCGGATCACTTTATTTGAGAACCGACTCGCTGCAGTTATTGCTGCAGGTTTTTCATAATGTCTTTACTGGGTTTAGATTTATTAAGATCTTTCCCAAAACATCAGCTTAATGATGCATCTGATGAAGAGCATTTGTTAAAGGCTGTGCTTCATATTTTGCCACAGTTTCTCAGTCATATTTAGGATTTTAATTGGGCCGTTACAGCATTAATATGCTTGGATTGAAATTGTTTTATTACAGTTCTAGCTACAGCTTTGTTATCCTACTGGAAAATTAATATCTGCCCAGTTTGAAGTCTTTTGCAGATTTAATTTGTTCTCTCAGATACCACTGTGTTTTATAGTAGAAATGGTAAAAATCAGGGGAATAAGCAGAGATAATATTCTGTAATCTTTAACAAATATTTAACACTTGACATGAATGCAGGTTTACTGAATTCATAGATTTAAGAGGGCTAAATATTAATGCAATGCTGTTTCATATAATATGCATTGTAATGTGTATTTTGGAGGTATGTGTTAAACGACTTTTTCCTTAACAAACCAAAAGCTTTGCAGCTACTGTTAGATTTATGAGTTGAAGGGCTTTAAAATGGCCATCAAATGTTTTTTATGAACTGCTGTTTTTTTGACAAACTCAAGCAGTCGTGGTCAAATCACTGGCATTCCCTTGTGTGCTCCCCTTTAGTCCCAGGGTGACTTAACTCAACACTGTTGCATGCTTGCAGACATGCGTTGCTCTCCCTGGTGGCTCGTTTGTTTTGTTGGTGGTCAGATCTAGGAATGATATACAGGAGCTTCCCATTGAAGCCTCTCTGCTCCCCGGTGACTGTGGATCTGTCCCAACACAATAAAACTCTATACTCAGCCACTGCTATAGACTGTCAGCCCTGAAACTCAATGCAACTCAGCACTTGGTCATTTGCCCTGGGGGTAATATGATATACTCATCTTCCACTGAATGCACACGCACACACATGCAGTTTTTTGTGGGCATATGCACATAAAATGAACTTGTCTAATAGGACAGATTCTATAACCCCACCTGCTGAATCTGGATTTGGCTTGTGTAAAAGTTTCTTTCTTCATGCCTCCTTCTCTTCTTTCTCTTGCCTATCTGCCTTCTGTTCTTTTTTGTGCAGCTGACCCCGTCTGTACAATGGGTCCCAGTGGAAGTGTGTCAGGCTTTGATAAAATGGAGCTTGAGGTTCTTTGTGATCAAGGTCACTACCTTATCCTAACAGGAGGCAGAGCAGGAGGGGAAGAATAGCTGGAAAACAAACAAGAAGTCAGACAGGGGTGAAATCAGGGTGAAGAAATTACATGTTGCGAAACTTGATATTTGAGGGACCAACAGGACAAGATCTAAATTGCAGCAGTTTAATAGAAAGTTTGTGATATTGTAGATGGCATTTCTGTAAAGACAAAAGTAGTGAAAAAGTTTGACCTGAAGATGGAAAAGCAGATTCTTCATTATTAATTTTACTTCCATCCATCCACCCATTTTCTGTCCCACCTCATCCCTGCTGGGGTCGTGAGGGGTGCTGGTGCCTATCTCCAGCTGTCAAGGGGTGAGAGGCGGGGTACACCCTGGACAGGTCACCAGTTCAAGTCCATCGCAGGGCAACACATACAGTAGACAAACACGACAAACAACCATTCACGCACACAAAGGACAATTTAGAGAAGCAACTTAACCTAACAGTCATGTTTTAGGACTGTGGGAGAAAGCTAGGGTACCCGGAGAGAACCCAGGCATGCACAGGGAGAACATGCAAACACCATGCTGAAAGTCCTGAGGCCAGGAATCGAACCCAGAACCTTCTTGCTGCAAGGCAGCAGTGCCACCCTCTTCATCACCATGCATCATTTTACTTCTTTTCAGTAAATAAAAGTGAAATGAAAATGATCAAATACATAATCTGTATATCAAAATACACAGCTTAAAAGATCATGCAGAATAAAATTCACGCTAAGAAACTTGGTCTTATGTAAAAGTGCAAATTGTTAGATTCCACTTTTAAGTTTTGAATGGTTTGCAATCCGGTTTCTGTAAAGACTTGAAATGTTACAGTTACTGTTTTAGAATTAAAATGACAATTATAGAGTTGACATTTTAAACTGCAGACTATATTACTTTAGCAACTACAGCTTTAATCTCAGCTAGCTTTAACAAAATCTCATAGTCAGGTGTATATTCTTGAACATTTTCCATCTGAGATCCAAAGGGTGCAAACAGTAGTAGTATTAGTACACAATGAATAAATGGGCAGGATGTAACATAGCAGCCTATGTTGTCTTTTCAACTTTCCTGATATCTGCTGAAAATCTTACTCTCTCAGCCAGAGTGATTCAAAGATTGACTTATTCATGTCTCTAGTAGTGTTGTTCATCCTTGTGCTTCTTTTAACACCTCCCTGATATATAAAAAAATAAATAAAAATCAGTGATGTGTTTGTACACTACAGAATGTGTGATTCTGTTGTGCTTGGTATGGTGCCTTTAGTGCTCATACAAATATTGGATTTCTGAGTTTCTGTCTGGCTATTTAAGCTAAACATCATTGGTCAGTTCCTAACTGCATGTATTTAATGTATATGTTGTGGAAACACGTTGAAAGATGATTAGTTGTTTATAATCCTGAATATTTTAGCTACTTGTACAAAGACAACAAATCTGCAGTGGTGTTTAAAGGCTCTACAGCTTCCTTGGTGCTAATTTTGGTTTTCTGGTAGTTTTTTTAGTTTATCTTTTGCTTGGTAAATGCAGGCAGAGGGAACACAGACAGTTTGTTGTCATAATCTTATCATAATTAAGTATGAAGTGACTCACCTTATCGTGGGCCATCTGCTTCCCGTCCAATTATCTCCTTTTCTTTCATGTTACCTGCAAATATTTCCTGCTGAAGAGCATAAAGAATTGCCAAGAGTCATCATAACTTTAATAAGACTTGGCTTACTGTACATGTGTCTGTAAGTCCACAAAGACCTATATCTGTGTATGCATGGAAGTTTACTCTGTAGAACGCTGAAAGCTGCTGGAGTAGGGTTTTTTGACCGATGTCTTTCTGCCAAACTAGAGGCAAAGGAACAGAGTGAGAAAATGAGAGGGGGGGATGTAAGCAGATGTCCTGGCTCCATTCAGACCATTTCTATCATATCGTATCACCCTTTTTTGCTGAGTAAACTTCCCTGGCAATTTATGGTGCATACCTCTTGCCCAGATGCTATATTACCTTAGTTGCTTTGGAATGACTCAGACTCTGATCTAAAAAGAGGTGTTGAATATGTGATAGTAGTATGTACTGCACCAAACAGGTTACAAGCTACAGAAATCAACGGTTAATAATCAAAATGAGTAGAAGGGTTAAAAAATATAGTAAAATAATAATTGGCCTTCATGTAACTATTTATAGAATAGAATAAAATAGAATGGAAAATCCCTTTATTGTCCGAAAGTGGGGAAATTGTGGTGTTACAGCAGCAGCAAAAGATTACAGTAAAAGTGGTCATAAAAAATATGGGCCTAAAAATTGTGTTTAAAAATAACAGCGTAAGTTACAGAGTTAAGAAAATAAACAGATAAAATACTGTACTGTACAGTATAAATAATATACAGCTCTGAACACTTTTATAGTAATGGATATGTGAAAAAAATAGCAGCAACACCAGAGATGTGCAAAAATGACAGCAGCATGTTAGCTGCTGATAACAGTTAGTTATGCCAGTAGTTTTACAGTGTTTTTTTTGTTTGTTTTGAGTGAACAACCTATTTTATAATCCTACAGTGAATGCAATAAAAGCAATGTTTGATAGTAATGAAGTAATGTTGAAAAAAAAACAGATTATCATTCTGATCTTCTCTCATTTTCTGGGATTTTTCAGATCAGGGTGGACGGTTCATCGCGTGCCCTTCAATATGAGACTGTTCACGCTGTTGAGGATGGACCCATTTTGAGAGATATGGCCTTCTCCTCTGACCACCACTACCTCTACGTCATGTCTGAGACCCAGGTAAGAAACAACAGAAAAATCATCTTAAGTCTTTTGCACTCACAATAATTATAACTTCTATGATGAGCAATGTTTTTATTATTATTCATGTCAGAAGTCATAGCAACCTTTTTCATAACAAAGATTTTATTATAGGATAGCATGAGAATAAAAACAGGTTAGATGAACCAATGTGTGCTTTTTCTTTATATAGTAGCACACTATGAGCAAGAGAGTGTAGTTTCTAAATTATAGGGAGATAAGAGCGGTACTGTGTATGTACGCATGTGCACAAGCAGATTTTCACCATCTCTTAGTGCCTTTGATGACATGGAATTTGGTGCAAAATAGCAGCACTCTGTGTAATGGACACAGACTGTGAACACCTATCCAAGACAAAAGCCCACCAAAATAGCATCACTAAAATTCACTCTAATCCAGGCTCCTGTAAATGACTGGATTTCTTCTGATGTTCTACATGAGGGCACAAAAGCATGGAGGCCCATTGATTACATTAGATCATAAATGGGAATGGCCTTTTTGGCAAGACATCCTCCACTGCACACAATAATGGCCCCACAGACACAAAGACCCGGCCAAAAATAAAGCGTAGCATTAACGGATCTATTTTAGAACACAGGTTATATTAAGTAGGACAACTATCCTGCTAACAGCATACAATACATTTTGTTAACTACACATATATTTGTATATGTTTTTTCTGCTTTAAGGGAAAAAAAAAAGGAACAATCGGTATTGAGATAGGAATACTGTATATCATCCCAACCAGTATTATCATTGTAGATGAAAAGTAACAGTTTTTATGAAGAACATATATGTATTATTTTTCATTTTAAAGTGGGAGTATAAAGGAAAAGTTATAAAATGCCTTCTGCGGATATTGTCTTGGCAAAAGTTACTGTAAAAAACTTAATTTAACAAGATTATGTTTCAGAGTGACCTATCCAAGGTCTGGACTTTAATCCAATCAATCAAATTCTGTACTGTATTAAATGTGCTGTTCATGCTGGAAAACCCTCTGTGGCTGAATTAAAATTTTCTCAAAGGAGAAAGGGACAGAATTCTCTGTAATAATGTTAGAGTCCTGTCGAGTTACCAAATACTCTCGTTTCCGCTAAGGTGGCCACAGTCAGTTATTGGGTTTAGTGTGCAATTAGTTGTTCACAGAGGGTTAGGGTGGTTTGGATAGCCTCTTTCCTTCAATGAATGAAATTAGCATTTCAGTTATTATGTTTATCTTTGTACGGTATAAAAATTTGCTAAACATGGTCATTATGTAGCTTATATGAAAAAAAGAAATCAATTTAGTGGTGTTTAAAGTAGGAAGGCTTTTTAGTAAATAGTCAATTTGCACAGTTGTAAGTCTGATCTCCTCTAACAGCTGAAGCAAAACAAATGGGAATTCACATGCACACAAGCAGTTAATAAAGCCAACATAAAAAAAAAAACTAAGTATACAAAACTCAAATCCAGTTCACAAATAATCTTAATCAACACCAAAGGGGTTTAAAGAGCAAAAA